CTCTCTCTCTCTCTCTCTCTCTCTCTCTCTCTCTCTCTCTCTCTCTCGAAGGGAGGTTGCAAAATAGAGGTCAGGTACAAGGGGAGGGGGAGATGAATAGGATTAGGGTTCAGGATGTGAAATTCACAAAGAACGAATAAAAAGTTAAACACACACAATCAGAAATCCTAATGTAGTTTTTAAAAGTAAAACACGAGAAGCAAAACTGGAATCTGAACAAAGTATCATTGAAGGGAAGGTGATGCCACTGTTTAGAAGCCTCTGTGGAGACTGCAGGAGACTGAAGCCTGTTCCATTGCCCTTGTCTTCCATCATGGAAGCCTGGAGGTTCTTGGAAGAAACTGCCTCTTCTGGGCCAGCATCATTGAGACAAGAGCAGTTTACTGTGGCCATGGGTCCTTGCGGTGAGTTAGAGACCACCCACTCACCACCATGCTGTCTCCAAGACTCTTAGACACTACCAATACAAGGTTTGTTTGCTTTGCTTTATTTCATTAGAAAACCACAAAAGAAAGAAACGTGTGCACGCATGGTGAGAGAGCTGTACTAGCCACAGTTACTACACTGGGGATTTCCCCTGCTTCCAACTGAAATTGGGTTAATTGAGAAGGGCATGGGGAAATACTGGAGTCCAATTAACAAAACCTAAATCTTCCAATTAATAAAGTAATTGTTAAATGGCTTGGGGGTCAGCACTTAGAATTTAGGGGAAAATTAAAAGCACTTATCCCAGACTTTGTTCGAAACATCAAATGCTTTGAAATGCTGAGGGTAGCCATGACAGAGCACTTGCTTGATATGTGGGGGCCCGGGCTTGATCCCCAACAGTGTGTGTTAGGGGCATCATTTTCACCTTGCCTAGTTAAAGGGAATGTATAAGTGGAAATGGAGATTTAAGAAGGTTGGGAGGGAAGCCCACACACTTGTGTGCTGTCCTGAAAATTCATGTTCTGAACACTTAGAGGTCATTCCTGCCTTTGAACCTGTGTTGTCAACTGGTGTCAGAACCTCTGCCTAATAATGCTTTTACCCAGATCTCAGAGCCCGTCTTGAACTTCTGTCATCTTACTGGGATTCTTGGTGTCAACAATTATTAGCCCCATATGGCACCATTCCTCTTGGCTCTCTGCATTTTGGCAGCATGAACGACTACTACTTCTCTTATGATTTTAAAATAAAGATATGATCTGCAGAGAAGGCCCAGAGAATGAGGACATAGGAGAAAGGTTGCTCCTGGGAGCTTGGCTTCTCAGCAAAGACTGATTCATCCTCCCCATGAATGCTTGTGGCTGTGCCCTAGAGCATCCATGAGCTCAGAGGGTTCTAAGAAAAAGCTTACCAGAGCTAAGATATGTTCCACAGTCCACGAACCAGGCTTATGGGCAACATGAGGTAGATTCTCCTCCATAAGAGTAGTCAGTCCTTGGCATCATAGGACAAACCACCATCTGCCCCTCCTCACTCCCTGCACAGTGTCCTACATGGTTCCAGAGGGAGGGTTTATGTGTATATGAAGGAGACTGGACCTATAGCAGCTCTGAAATCTGCTGGCAGTGGTAGATCTCCAGTGTGGCTCATAGCTGGGCCCACACAGGCCTTTCTTCTGTGGCCTCTACAGACACCAGAGCTGGACTATGGGAAGCCACATGACATTGTACTTATCCTGTGGGACCTCACTTGACTGCACAGGGGTCTCCTTTTACTTATACTATGTTGATTGATTCTGGAACCAGACTGGCTTTTGTTTTGGACACAGCTTTGACAGGAGGAAGCCCCAAACTACGGCAGAGTAGGCACTAAGACCATCAGTGGCCTTACAGAATATTGCTAAGATACTCCCTCTCTGAATTTAAAAATGTGTAACTACCTGGAAATTCTCCATCCTGGGACATTCCAAATTGCTTCTCCATGGGGCTGAGAGACAACTGGATATGAAATTAAGTCTTCTCTGTGAAGGAAATGGAAGGTTTTATGTTCTAAATAATGCTGTCTACTCTTAGTACTGAAAGCCCTTAACCAGTGTGAAGTCTTTGGTATTAACTGTCTTTGCCCTCCCCCCCAACTCTCATGTGGTTCTTAATACTAAAATTCTTCTGTTGAAGGAATAGAAAAAATGAGTATTACTCAAAATCATGGAGGGGAGGAGAAAAACCACATACTTTTTGCTTCAGCCTATGTCCTTGTCAGTGTCTAACATTTTTCCTGTTCTCTGATGGTTTAGTCTTATAGATGGGGAATTACAGGCAGTTGGACACTCATATATTTGCTCTTAAGGATCCCTACTAAACACACTGATAAATCCTCCCACATGAAAGGGGGAAAGCTCACATAATATTCATCAAGATTTGACTAATTTGCTTTCTAAAATCAGGCCTCTCTGGAAGACAGGCAAACAGTGATACGTGGGCATTTTTCTGTAAGTGCCTGTCTGAACTCTTCAGTATGTCTTTTAGTGAGATTTCCATAGATAAAATGACCAGGGCCAAAACTCTAACTGTGATCCTGGACCATATTTGAATTGATGACTCCCCCACCTCCACTCCCCTGTAGAGTACAAAAGAAACTTGAACCACAGCTTTGGGCCTCATGTCACCTCTGTATCAAAGGCAGCCATGAGCAAACCGAGGCTCAGCCGCTCAAGTGTAGTGCCTGGCACGACTGCTGGAAAGTAATAAGAGAAGTGTCAGGGAAGACTGGAGGGAGCAGAAGCGATAATGAGCCGCGTGCTCCCAGCCCCCAGCAAGATTAAATGTGCAAGCGCCATTCGTCTCTAATTAGACATTTATATCCTTCACTTTCAAACCCTAAGAAGCTTCCAAAAGGAGTGCCATGCTTGCCACTTTCTCTTCTTGTCTTTCACAGATTGGAAAGGCAACCTCCCCCTCTGCTGGTATGGGGGCGTGCATTCAATATCCCCTCCCCCAAGTGAAGTACTCCCATGGGCTTTCCTTCAGCACAGCTCACTGCTCACATGCCGAGATTCTAGGAGGGAAGACGTATGTTCAGTGTTTGCATCTTAAACCCAAAGAATGTCCTCCATATGTTCCTGGCAGCCTCAGACAGCA